TCTCGACCTGCTTTTGGAGAACGCGACGCTGTACGCGCCTCTGTCCCCTGGTCTGCAGGTGCTGCAGGACACTATAGGACCATTTGGCAATGTCGACATGGTGTACATTGCGCCGCCTCAATCGCTCTTGCACCTCTACCAGCGCATGACAACCGCGCTGGCCAATTTGACGTTTCATGACGTGGCAGCCCAAGAAGCGTTCGTAGCACTGCCGCTCAAATTGTACATTGGTCAGCAGCCAGCGTCGTTTGTCGGCAATATGACATTACGCAGTGTCGGGGGCAGTGTCTTTTGCGGCGACGACGTCCAACCGTTCTCCCCGTCGCTCGGCCTCGCGCTGCCATTTAGTTTTGATACGGTCTGTCACTGGTGGTCGCCCGACTTCTTCACCCCGTCGCCCACCGAGCTTTTGTTTGCGCTGGCTGCGTACACGCTATCGCTGCCGCCGTTGCAAGGACCGGAGCTACGTTTGCTCTGCGCCCACGACATTTATGCCGAGCCCAACTGCGAAGCTATCTACGAGGCGTCGCTGGCCTTTCTAACACAGTACTCAACGACCTTTGCTCCACTTGTGCCGCTTGTGGCGACAACCACCGTGGAAACCCTGCGTCTCGACCTTCAACTGGTTCAACTGGTCACCACGACCACTTCAAATCGCGGGGTTGAGCTCTTCTCGCAGGGTCTTTTCAACGTCACGAGCCCGCGTGATGTGGCGTGGACGTTCTTTAGTTGGTGTTACCTCTATGAGTGGGTCGTGGCGCGGCGCGAAGTCGTTTCGTTCGTTGGCGATATTGGACATATTACGTCCATCTCGGCGGTTGTCAACCCGCTCACGCTGTCGCTCGATGCGCAAGAGATACCAACGTACGTGAGCTTTTCGAGCTTGGCGTGCGTTTTTTACCTGACGTGCGTCATCTCTTGCATCACGTCGATCACCGTGCTGTACGTCCTTGCCGTGCGCTTGGACGTCGAGCCGTGGAACCTCTACCAAATCAACCGCGTCGTCGGCCACGTGTATGTGGGCCGCAGCCTCCTTATCGTGCGAAGTGCGACAGCCCTCTGGCTCCTCAACACGTCGCGACTGGAGCTCGCTCGCTTTGGCGTCGGTACTCGGCTCGACGCACCGCGTTTGGACCCGATCAAGGTCGCCCTCGGCGCGGGCGAGCTCACATGGCTCGTGTACCTTCTCAACGACGTGCTCAGCGTCGCAACGACCGCCCACACGGTGCGCTACGCACTCAAAAGCACCTTGTGTACGTGGATCGTCTCGGTCGTCGTGGCAGTTGTGTGGCCGCAAGCCTACACCGCGTCGATTGCTCCCAACTGCGCCTATGTCAATATGGACCAGCTGCTCGTGTGTCAGCGCGCGACCGTCACGATTGGCCGCTGGAGCGGGGTGCGCTGGAACCTCGGGTTCGTCGTCTGCAGCGTCCTGGGCTTTGCGTTGCTCGAGCAGCGCCGACGAGGCGCACCGCCAACGCCACCGGCCGCCGCCTCGTGCCACCTCAACTCGACCGCGTACTACATGTTGTACGTGTGGTCCGTTGACGACACGGTGACGTACATGGACCGCGCGTCGGCGTTTCTCGCCGGCCTCGTGTCGCTGCGATGGCGACAACGCATGCTCGTGTTTGACGTCAAGCGCTGGTGCTGTTATGCGTACGACCTGGAGGCGTACCCGCCGCTCTCCCCGTTGCGGCAGATCCACGCAGCACTGGCGCTGCATGCACTTCCGTCGATCGACTAATGCGCTTGCTAATTTGGATTCGAACTAGTTCTCTTGGGGTGAAACCCAGGGGGGAGCCTAGCTGGCCGAGTGGTGGCGATCTCTCTCGTCTGAAGAGGTATCGAGATATCTTATCTGGAACGATGTGGAGAGCACTCCTCAGAAGTGGTGCGCGGTCTCTGATCTAGATTGGTGTTGGCTCCTATATGGGCGACGCTGGTCTGATCTGGAATGGTGTGGCGCTCATCAGAAGTGGCGCGGAGCTCTCTCGTCTGGAGTTGCGCAGAGCTTGCTCGAGTGTAGCACATTACGAGTCTGGAGCGCACCAGAATAAAGCGACCAGTATTCAAGTTGGTTGCACATCTGGTACTCGAATGGAAATGATGTTGGAACCGGTTGGCAATTTGGCGCCAGCAGACAACCGGTCAGCAACCAACTGGTCTCGTGGACTTTCCACCAATCACCGACGCGCTGTCGGTCCATATCTTGAGCGGATGGAACACGACCTGCCGCTCGTGAGCGTGGTCCGCGCGGCCAAGCTGGCGCTGCCTAGCAAGGCCGGGCTCACGAAGGAAGGGAAGGAGCTGCTGCAGACGGCCGCTGGCGTCTTTGTGCTCTACCTCACGGCGGCGTAGGACGACGACGCCCTCGCACTCGATCGCTCATGGCCCTTGTAGAGCCGACGACGAGTGCAAGACCAAGGGCCGCCAAACCATCTCGGGCAACGACGTCTTCAAGGCGCTCCAGGACGTCGACTTTGCGCAGCTGGTCGCGCCGACCGCCGATTTTCTCCAGCGAGCCAAGGCGACGGCCAAGAAGCCCAAGGCCAAGGCGACCAAGGACGACGCCATGGGCCACGACGACAACGACGAGAACGAGCATGCGGACGAAGAAACCAAGGAAATGGATCTTGACGACGAAGAAGAGACCAAGGAAGAAGCATAAGCCGTCATACATATTACGAAGTTGCATCTATGCCATGTCGACGTCGTCGTCCCCGTCGGTGGCGTCCCGCATAATGACCACGTGGCTGCCCTTGACCTTGCGCACCTCTGTGGCGTGGCACACAACAGTCGCTTAGGATGAAAGACGACGAGGATGAAGACGGGAACGCACCTCCGTGGGCGATGACGGCCGCGCACGACGACGAGACCGCGTCCATGGCCTTGCCGTACGGCAGCCCGAGGAGCATGCCAATGTTGATCACGTCGTAGGGCGACCGCAGGAGCATGTCCCGCGCTGCGCCGCTGCCAAAGACGATGTGGCGGCCACGCGTGATGCGGATGAGACTGCTGGCGTTGGCGAAAAAATACCGCCGGCCGCTCGAGTCTACTCATCCTGTGACGTGAGCGACCTCGATTCCATGGACGTACCGCCGAGCGCCGCCGTGTACTTGAGCTCGAAGTAGATGCCCCGCGCAATCGCTGCGTCCACCTACATCCAGTAGCATGGTTGACATCGTCGATTCGAGTTGTTGTCTACCAAGGGCTTGCGGAGCTGGAACGACAGGCGCGACGAGACGTCCAGCGTAATGATGTCGACGTCGCCTTGCTCGCAAAAGAACTGGAAGAGACGCGTCGACGTCGGCTCGACCGCGACAATGTCGTAGGCGCGGATCACCGGGTTGCTGTTCTAAGGTGTTGCAATGCATGAGGGCAATGGACTTACAGAATATCGTCGTACGATGGCATGGGCTGCGTTCATGTCGTCGCACTGCAGCGTGATGCGCTTGAGCTGACGGACTGCCGGCGGCGGGTTTTCGCCGCCAATGCGAAGGCCATGCAACTGCGTCTTGGTCTTCCGGCCGCTCTCGAGGCTCCATGGCGCCAGCGACTCGGGCGCTCGCGGTGGCTTGGTCCCGTCGTTCTCGACGTTGAGCGCCATGCAGCCGTATCCTACTGCGCGAAGAGCATGAGCATGCGCATGGCGTCGCATACGCATCGCCTACACCGGGCCATCTCGAGGAGGAAGAAGCTCTGCTGCGCGCCCGTCGCGCCGTCCGCCGGCACGTTGAGATCGCAGTACATGTTGGATTGGGAATGGTGGGCACGTCGCGCGCATACACGCGCGAACTTGAGACGCAAGCCAATCATCGCGTAGATAACACTATTTTCAGTAGCATGGCGTGTGGGTTTCAGCGCGAAACCACGGGACGCGACGCTTCCACGCGCAGCTACTTGACGCGCTAGCTGTCACCCACCGACCTTGAAGCCGACAGATTGTCTGCATTTCCACCGACATCGCTGTCTATTGGGCCTCGAACGACGATTATGATTTGTGATCAAGTTTATTGCTTAATAATGCCTTTGGATGTCAACTGCTCCCATACCCACCGCAGGGCTGGAAGGACCTCTGGCCGCAGTTGACGGACAGTTGGCTAAATCCATCCTGCGGCTTGGCATCTCTCCAGCACGTATTAGTCGGTGCGGCGATCACGGCTAATTAGACGCGCCGACCTCGTCCTCCAGAAAGCAGTGCAAGGACGTCCACAACGTCTGCCGTGGGACACCAAGAGTGCTCGAGTGGCGCCGAGATCGACGCTGCCCATGGTGGCGCGCTGTCTGAACGAGAAAGAACGCAGCAGCTCATGTACACCACGTGAAACGCCGCCGTTGTCTTCAACATACACTATTTCCGATCGCCCGCGGACCTTATCCGGACGCGCAACGGTTGCAGTCGAAACGGCGTAGCATTCGGTCGGCGCCCGATGGCAGCAACGCGGTCGGCCGAGAGCAAGGCCGCGCTCGAGCCCGAGTCTACGGACGAGTGCAACAACGGCGATGGCGACGGCGACGTCGTCGACCAGCCCACGGTTGACCGCATGCACCTCCTCTCGGCGCTGCCCGACTTGGACGAGCTCTGCAGCGCCAACGGGCTCTCGCGCAAGCAGTTTGGCAAGCGCGCGCACCTCGTGCAGTCGCTTGAGATGTTTCTCGGCTTTTGGCCGCGCATGGTGACTGTCACGTACTTTACCAACTTGCGCGACCTCTCGATCGTCAAGCACCCAACGATCGCCGTGCTCGAAGGCCTAGAGTCGTGCCCGCAGCTCGAGTCGCTGCGCATTGTCGAGTGCAGCCTCGGGCGCATCGAAGGCCTCTCACAGTGCACGCGCTTGACGTACCTCAATCTAAGTTCGAACGCGCTCGTGCGTATGGACGGCCTGTCGGCGCTCACGCGCCTCGAGACGCTCTGGCTCAACGACAACCGCATCGAGCGCCTCAGTGGGCTGGAGCACTGTACCTCGCTGCAAGTGCTATGGGTCGCCAAGAATTACATTGCAACGCTCGAGCGGTGTTTGGATGCAAATACGACCTTGACCGAGCTCAATGTTGCGGCCAACCAGCTCAGCAGCTTCCTGGCGCTAGCGCCACTCGGGAAGCTGCCGCGCCTTGCGTCGCTGAATTTAAGCGACCCGCACTTTGGCGACAACCCGGTGTGTCGCCTCTGCAACTACCAGACGTACCTTCTCTGTCAACTGCCGCACTTGACGTACCTCGACACGCTGGAGCTTAGTCCGCTCAACAAACAGATTGCCGACTCGACGCTCATGAAGAAGCGCATGTACTACAACATGCGCATCAAGACCATCAAGCGCAACATCTCGAATTGCGTCCGGCACGCGCGGCAGTGCTACATCGACCACATCAACTTTGCCAACTTCAACTTGAACGCAGTCATGCGCGAACTCTCGGATCTCGATAAGGAACTCGAAGACGAAAAGCTACACGGCGTCTCGCAAACGTTTCTCAAGTACCCGCAAGGAAGCCTCGAGGCCAAGCGGGCCCAAGTCGCTGCGTACATTGCGTTGAAAACGCAGTGCATTCACAGCATGACGCAGGCGTTCGAGCACCTTCGACACCAGCTCACGACGTTGAGCGAGAAGACAATTGCGCGTCTCCTCTTGGAGCTCAATACAGGCGGCAACATTCGCCTCGAAGACGGCTCCGAAGCCGATGTGTGGTACGCGAGCTGTGTCGACTTGCTGAGATCCCGCGCCTTCTTGGCCGACCTCGCGCCTCTCGGGATCCGCGACCTCAAGGTCAACCGTGTCACGCGTATCAACAACCGGTTTCTGCGCAACCGGTTTCAGGACCGCGTCGAAGCGCTCCTGTCCGGGCCCGACGAGCACGTCAAGGACAATGTGAGCAAGCGCGGCGTCACCATCAAGGAGAGCGCGATCAATACCAGTTCGTCGTCGTCCGACCAAGACAACGCCAAGGACACCACCGACGTCGCCATTGAGAACACGCTCGAGTACCTATTTTACATGCAGCCGCCGATCTTGGACCACATCGATGGCGTCAAGGAGCAGTACCACGTGATCGAACATGGCTTCCGCGCGGTCGACGACTATGCCGTGCTCGGGCCGCACTGCGCCCATGGCATGAAGCTCACCAACTCGCTCGCACTACTCGATGTGCCTCGTATTGCGACCGCGCTGCATCTGGGCGCCGAGCCCGACGCCGATGTCTCGGCGTACGCTCATTTTGGCTGGCAGTCGGTGGAGCTCACAAAAGCCATGCGGAGCTCGCAGCGCAAATTGCTCTCGGGCGAGTTCAAGCTGACCGACGGCGTCCTCGTGATTGCCAAGGCCTTTGTGGGTCACACGCGGATCGTCGAGCAAGGGACGTCGTTTCCGCTTCAAAAGCCCGATGACGTCCAGTGCCTCCAAGCCATCAAACCGACCGACCCGAAGCAACGCATGTACTTTTTACTGGACGCGGCGCTCGCGCTGCCCGAGTACATTGTCGAGTACGAGTACACGCCACTGGACACAACGTCGCACCTCCTCGCGGGCTTGGTGCCGGCGGTCGCACCGGCGGTCGTCGCAGACCGACCTCTGGGCCCGGACGACTACAAGCAGTATGGCATCACGTCCGACGAAGCGATCGTGGACATGGGCGCTGCCATCGCGCTCACTGAAGCCTTCAAGCACAAGTACCAGCTCGTGTTTACTGAGCCGCTTCTCGAGCAACATTTGCTCGAAGAAGCGGCGAAAAACCTCATTCAAATGGACCCGACGATCGCGCGGCGACAGGCGATTGGCGGCGTCGGCCCCGCGACGACGCACATTACACCGTCGAGTCTTGTGTCGCTGGCCTACGGGATCGCCCCGCACGACATGGTGCATTTGAACCTCACGAGCTCGGGGCTTAAGTCCCTCGCCGGGCTCAGTATGTGCGGCCTCGTCAAGCTCGAGCGCCTCGTGCTCAGCTTCAACGAGATCCGGACCATCGAAGGGTTGGAGGGACTGGGTTCGCTCACGACATTGGATTTGGGCTACAATATTCTGCGCTCGATCGACAACATTCATGGTCTTCATTTGCTGCACACGCTGCTCCTCAACAACAACCTGCTCTACCGCTTTGAGGACGTGAGTACGCTCAGCCACGTCCCAAGTCTTCACACTCTCGACTTGCGCAACAACGCCATCTGTGAAGCCAAACGGTACCGGAAAAACGTGCTCCAGCGCCTTCCCAAGCTCCAGCGCCTCGATATGGCGCCGGTCGCCCCAAACGAGCTCTCGACGCCGCTTGCCGTGCGCCTCTCGCCGCATAAGATCTGGGCGTGCTCGCGCGGGAGCCGGCACGATCGCGGCGAGTCGAGCTTGGCCCGCTTCCGCGCCAAACCGGTTTTGCAAGCGGGTGACGAGGCCTTTCTGGCCGACGAACAGGACGACGATGCGAGTTGGTGGACCACGGTGGAGGAGCTGCATGTGGACCACGAGTCTCTCTCGATGCTCAGCCACTTGGAGAAGCTCACGTCGCTTCGAATTGCGTCCTTCTCGGACAACGACCTGAGCTTCATCGATGGGCTCAGTCAGTGCACGAGTCTGGAAGAGCTTGCGCTCGTACAGTCATTTGTCTGTGGTGAGCCGGATACATTGCTCCATATGTAGGACAACAACCAGATCATGACGATTGAAAATTTGGATGCGCTCGTGCAGCTCAAGGTGCTCGACCTCGGCAAGAACAAGCTCATGGGCATGAAGAACCTCGACACGCTCGTCAACCTCAAGCAGGTATAGTTCGTTGCCTGGGCGGGATCGAATTTATTTTATATTTATGCTAGTTGTCGCTGGAAGACAACAACATTACGTCCTTGCAAGGCCTGTCGCACCTCGTCAAGCTCATGGAGCTCTACATTGGCAACAACAACATTGCCAACATCAAGGAGATCCACGTACGACCACGCAACGAAACATGTCGCTGGGCATTCGACAAATTGTGTATGGCATAGCACCTCAAATCCTTGCCCAAGCTCATCATTGTCGACTTTTCCGGCAACGGCTTTTGCGCCGACGCCGAGTACACGCTGTATACAGTCTACAACCTCCGACGCATCAAGGTGCTTGACGGCGTGAGCATCTCGAGCGACCTCCAGTTTGAAGCCAAGCAAAAGTACAGCGGCAAGCTCACGACCGACTTTCTCATTGAAAAGATTGGCCACGCGTTCAACCGAATCCACGAAATGGAGTTGTCGTCGTGCCGGATCCGGGAAATTGGGTCGCTCCACGGGTAACTTTGTTTTCGAATTTGATGAATCGACGGACAAGTAACATGGGCGTAGGGACGTCTTTGTCAACCTCAAAGACCTCAACCTTGAAAACAACCTGATCACAGATATCTCGGGCATCGAAAAACTCCCGAAACTTCGCGGCCTCAACTTGTCGAGCAATCGAATCGAGCGGCTTTCCCATGCGGGTCCCCACACGGGCGTCTTGGCGTGTCCCAAGCTCGAGAACCTCCAGCTCGCGCACAACCTCATTACCGACATGACGCAACTCGGCTTGCACCACCTCCAGGAACTCAAGGTGCGCGCACCTCCGCCGTTTCAAAGTGTGCAACAAGGTGCTGAGTAGATTCTCAACCTCGAAGGCAACGACATTACCCAAATCGCCGGCCTCACGCACGCCCACGAGCTGCGCGAGCTCATTCTGAGCAAGAACAAGATCCGGCAGTTCGAAGCGGCGACAGCCAACGTGCTCACGAGCCTCGTCGTCTTGAAGATGGACGACAACAGCCTGCGATCGCTAGTATATTTTTACCCACTCAGCCGGCTGCAGGTAGTAGTTTCGCCACTTTAGGATACTTAACCCTCGATATTTAGGTGCTCGACTTGTCCAACAACCGACTACCCGACCTCGAAGAAGTCGAGCGTCTCCAGCCACTCATTCCGATCGTGCAAGAGCTATGGGTCCTCAATAACCCCCTCGCCAAGCGCCACCTCTGTCGGTCGACGATCATCTACCGCTACTCGAGCCTCAAGTGCCTCGACGGCAAAGACATCACGCTCGAAGAGCGAGAGCGCGTCGAAGTGCTCTTCATGCACGACCGGACCATGGTAGCGCCGTCGCTCCCCCCCGCCGTCTCGGCCGCCCGTACGTCTGTCGACTGCGATTTTCAATCGACTTATGTGGATTAGTGGTCAATGCGCCGCACTTTGCAGCCTCAAGCAAGACGTCCGTGAAGCTCACAGCCATGAGCTTCGAGTCGCTCATGGGCGGCCAGCGACGGCAGAGCAGCAGCAACAACGCGGTATTAGGAACGGTGTTGCCCCAAGTGCCCACGGACCGCAAGGCGCACGACATGCCGTTGGCGTCGCCATCGACAGCGACACCGCCGATGGACGCTCGACGCCGATCCGAGGCGACCACTCTGGGTACCAATGCACCACATCGAGCCTAAGGATTACAATGCGCATGGGTAGGTCAACTGACCGGCTTCAACGGCTCGGGCAACCACAAACTCGGGTCGCGACCAGGTACGGCGATTCTACCACCCGGTTATCAAGTGGGACCTGCGTAGAGGTGAGTATGACGCCACCGCCCAAAGCACAGCCGCATGTCGCGCAACCCACCGGCCATGTATATACTTCCCGCAACTTTGGCCGAAGTGGCGGCTCATTAAAGTAACCAAGATCTTATCTGGGGATTCCAAGTGCAATTAATTTGGATGGGTCCTCTGTAAATGGCAAGTTCAGAGCTAGTAATGGCGTGCGAGCTGCCCCCAAAAGCGAATAGCGTATCCTGCCGGTCTTTCTTAGCATCGACTAGGTCGAGGGGCGAGACGCGGTGTCCCTCGTCGTCTACGATGTGACAGCCGCATTGTGCAATGAGCGTGACCCCAATATAACGCTAGGCTTGACCCCTCACCGTGGGTTTGTGCCAAGATGGCGTCGGTGGTCCCGTTTCCATCGAGCCCGAGCGTCG